CAGTATATTAGCGTTGCTTGGCGTTAGTTCACTTTCTTTCAATAGCCAAAATACCTGGCTTGAAGCGGAATTATCCTCAAACTCCTGAAGAAAATAAAGGATGGTCAGAGAAAAGAAACGTAATACCAACATGAGAGGAAGAAACCTAGTTTAATGAATTCTCACATCTCGAGCCATTGCCATGGTTCCGAAAGCATTGAAGGGTAGCTTCGTTTGAGCCTTGTATAGACCAAGCTCCTGTCAGAAACCCAAATTGAGAGCTCACTTTTAAAGTTTTGATTAATAAATGTATGGATTTGATATAACTTTTATTTTGTCCAGCTTGGAACATTAATATGTGAGAATAAGAAAACTGACCTCCAGCGTTGCTCCGTAGAAAGGTGTCTTTTCCCCATCAACCATGATTTCTAACAGTATTGTTCGAGTTTTCTCAGTACTAGGATCAATAAAGCCCTCTGCAGAACCTTCGGGGTCACCGGTTTGAACGACAAATCCATCCGCTGCAGCAAATTCAAGTAGATTTAAAATTTTGAGCATCTTTGTTGTTGATAACATGCACATATATCTATCTCAAATATAGTACAAATGAACCTCATTTCGTTCTTGTTAATGTTATGACTGATAAAAACATCATAATACAATGACCTTCGGAAACTTCGATCCAAAAGACAACAGGAAACTAGGAACAAATACAGTAGATTTCAGTGTTACCTCTCTGAATTTCCATGCCATCATAGAAGCGTCGTTGCACCAAATCAACAAAATTTCCAGCAGTTACCGGAGAGTTATATCCGTCCAGAACTATATGGAATACACACTCCTCTAGGTTTGGATTGTCCTTAACTTTGACCTTCATATCCACAGCTGCTCTCCCCTTCAAAAGAGGCATACTACGATATTCTTCGAGTACTTCAAATGGGAAGCCATCCACCATATCCTCTTCAACACTGCAGAAATGCAATGCCCGAGGAAGATCTCAGCTGCAGTCAATGACAAGATACCTATGAGAACAATTTATTTTAAGAGGCTCAAGTTTTTAAGTCCTTCCCTAATTTCTATGATGAAAATATCATACAGTTTTTAAGGCATTACAAGCAACCGACAGCACCTTGGGAAAACCCTAAAAATCATTAGTGTAGCATTTTTCGCTGACTCAAGCTTTTCACTAGGTGCCAACAGCTGTGGTATGGTTGATACATCTTGTTTGTTATGGTGACTACACAAGCTTGCAGTTGCAGACCTAAACCCATTTGGTAGATTCTTATCTATGTTATTCGGAATTGGGTGTGAGCGTTGGACATGGGTGTCTTTCCATGTATTTTGAGGCTATTTGGAGGGTTAAATTGCATCCCTACATCCATGCTCGAAAATGCATCTAACATGGGTGTCGAACACAGGGGCATCAAGAAAAATGAAGAATAGGACCAACATAGCTTCTTATACCACAGACACAAGTGCAGTGACTATATTTGCCTCCCACAATGAGCAAATGATAAAACCCTACCACAATATGACAGGTCAAACACGGCATTTTGGCGAACTACATATTTGGTAAATATTTTCATTGTCCTTGATAAAATTTGATGCATTTAACTAACAAATTCAAAACATATTAGGCAACATTGAGGGGCTACACATAGAAACATAGATGGGCAAAAACAAATAAACAAGGTTCATTTTTAGTTAACTTTGACGTGCTAGCAGAGATTAAATCACTATAAACTTTTTATCGTCTGATCTTCGCTTGAGGGTGTAAACTAAGCAAAAAAAGCAAACTTACAGCAATAAGTTTTAAAGATTTAATGAGATACTCTCTCCAACGTACTGAAGCAGCTCCTTCTGTTTAGGTGCCACTGCATCTCTATTCCGATCCTCCACAATCTGTTGTAGTTCCTCCATCCCGACTTCGAGCTTGTCGAGCAATTCCATGCCATGGTCCTTCTTTGATTCAGCTAATCCGGATATAATTGAACTTTTCCCTTGCTTGAGTGATCGAGATCCTTGTCTCACATTCTAAATTTTATACAAAAGACAAGCATTGATTATCATGAATAAAACAACCGCTAAGCCTATCACCAGAAGCATACGAAAAATATCCGATTTCAAGTTAGTTTAAAGCAAGGGAGTCCTACTCTCTCGACAGAATCAAGCGCCATGACGCCGGCTATCTTGAGACTCTCTGATATATCTTCAAGTGGCTTTTGTACTTCTCTTATAGCTTTATTGTCAATTGGCAGTGCATATCTCAAGAATGCTCTAGGGTCCTTTATCGGAGGCCCAGAGATTAAAACAGACAAATCGGACAATGCAGGATTAGCTGCATAAGCTATAGGAGACCAATCCAGTGATGGCATCCCACTTATCAACCCAGCAGCCAAAGCAATTGAGATTGCACATTCCTTCAAGGAAAGTGACCTCTTTTTCTGCTAAAAAACCCCGAATTTCGTATCACCATGGTATCAAAAACCAATGAGTCAAATACATCAAATTCATATACATCAAAACAGTATCATCTACTTGCATATTATTTGATCAAATTCTTATAGGATAGAACTGCTTGCTTTTCCCTAAGGAGTCAAATACATCTAATGCTAAACCCCATTTATGTATTAGGGACGTCTCTTTTATTAAAAAAAAAATGCTAAACCCCATGAACGTAGCATCATAAAAGCCATTAAATAACAAATATTGTTTAAAAAAAAGGAAAAAAGAAAAGACCCAACCTGCCCATTTTGAAGCTGAAAGTGAACATTCTTGTGGGAACTGGGTTTGGGCAAGAAGTGCCGATTCCACCAAGAACAACTCTTGTGATCCCTTAGAAAGATTGGAGCTTTGGTGGGTATTCTTGGACTATTCCAATTAGAGGCAGCTAAAGAAGAGTGAGTACTGTTGCAAGAGATGATGGTAGACATATTTACAATGATGAGAAATAACGAATCCGAGAGGAAATAAAAATGGAGAATGAAATCTTTGAAGTTTTGAGAAGGAGAAAAAGATAAGGTTGTTGAGCTTGGACAGCAAATTGTAAATAGAAATTGTTAGATAACTTTGGTACTGTTGGGATATGCTTCTATAATCATCCTCGAGCTCTGGATAAGATTTCTCTCTTTTGGATTTTGGATCTCTCTCTATCTCTCTTTCGTTCAAATTTTTTCTCTTCACTCACTATTAATGAGTTCGATGGAAACAAGCGTACGAGTTGATGCCTATCGCATTCAAGTATTGTAAATAAGAAACATAAAGTATATAAATGATCAATGATCTCTCCACAGTAGGTATTGCTTTCTTAAGTTCTTTTATTAGAGGTTATAAAATGGTGATTATATTATTTATATGTTTTAAACTCTTTATTTTTTGTTAATTAAATATAATATAAGTTAGACGTTATCTATTGATTGAGATATGATAAAATATGATCAGAGAATTTTAAGACTATCACATCCTAATTAGCATGTTAACGTACATCTCATAAGATAATCAAATTTTTAAAAGAAAATAACGGGTTTAGAATATATAAATTTTCTAATGATTATTTTATAACTTTTAATAATTAAGGAATTTAACAAAACAATATTTAATTTGATTTGGTTTATAAATATTTATTGTTTGATTTTAATCGAAATAATCAAATTGAATTAATTTATCAATGATCAAAATAATTATAAATATATTAATTATAAGATAAATTAAAAAAATCAAATTTTAAACTTTTAAATATAAATAAATTACATAAACATAAAAAAGAATAACTTAATATCAAATTAAAGAATAAAAAATATTTTTTCTTAAATATTTTGGATTCGAATATTTATATTTATATATGCAAAATATATATTATCAATAGTTAAAATAATTTTGAATAAATATTATTTTATAATTATTTTAAATTAATAAAAATAATATAAAAGTTAAAAAAAAACAGATCAAGTTATACATGACCTTAAATATTAGAGTTCAATCTCGACATATAATTTAATTAGATCCAAATTTTTTTAATTTAATATCAGACCGATTTTCAAACTTAAATAAATAACCCAAGTTTTGGTGATACGAAGGCCATGAAAAAAAACATATAGGACGTAAGCCGAATCCAGAAATCCTCTCTAGGGAAAATTTAACGTGCGCCAACCTAATATACGGTTAAAAAATGACTCTACTTAAAATGTTATTATATTTTAACATTTTTAATAAAAAATTACCTAAAACGTTATTTTTTTCTATCGAAAATATTATTATTAGGTATTTTATCGGGTTTGTTAATATATCCGGTAAAACACTACTTAAAATATTATTTTTACTACTGAAAATATTAGTATTAGACACTTTATTGAAAATGTTAAAAAATATAAATATTTTAGATAAATTTTTTAACAAAAATATTAAAAAATAATAACATTTCAAATATTTTTTCTTAATCGTCTATTAAAAATATCGTACTACAGAACTTCTTCTCCCTCTCTCTCTCTCTCTCTCCAAATAAAGGAATTTATAAGAAACATTCAAAAAAAAATACTAATTCCACATCTAAGTTTATATCAACACCGAAGCACGTGATAGAAAGCACAAGGTGAATATTTAAAAAACGATAAAATATTTTTGAAAATACTTAAAATTTTAAAAAATATATATTTGAGTATTTTGTGATTCTTTTAAGAATTTTTAAGTTTTTAAATTAATAATTTAAAAAATAATAAATATTTTTTAAAATAATATATTTTTGTTACCCTCCTGATTTTTCAAAATTTTACCTTGACTAATTTAGATTGATCGTGTTACCCACCTAAATTTAATGGGTGAGTCTCTCAATTAATTTTTTTTATATGTACAAAATTAAACTCAAAACTTATTTAAAAGATATCAAACGTTTTACCACGTGAATCAACTAATTGATAAAATAATGTAATTTTCAAAAAAAAATATTCATGTCTCTTACTATTTATTTTTAAATTTTATCATTTAACAATCTCTAATTATCAAATATTTTTTTGAACTGACAATATTCATTATATGGTCTAAGGTTGCCTTTACTTCTTTTTCTGGAACAGAGTTCCTTCTTTTGGTATTTAAACCACTTCCCATAATCACTGCTCTCGTATTTTCTCTTTGAAAAAGGCTTCTACTGATTATTATGTAAACAAAACAATTTTTTTGTGGGCTCTCCTTAATCATATATATATATAATATAAACCACATTTGTTTTTTTTAAACAAAGCTTAAATCTTTGATGCTTCAACAATTTTTCTTCGTTTTCCATGTTAAAGTGAGAAACTTGAGCAATGGTGAGGAAATGGGTTGTTTTCACTCTCATTTTTCTGCTTCTCTTTAATGGATTTTCTTCAGTTTCTGCCACCCCACCTGCAAGTAAGTCTGAAGAAAAGCTTTCACCATTTTTTTCACTGTGTATTTGTTTTAAATTTTGCTTTGGATTAGCTTATGTTTTTTTTTTCTTGCAGAAATTGTAACTTCAGTTGCCTCAAATGTGGTGTCTGTTCTTGTTAAATGGCTATTGTCACTAAAATCAGAACCCAAAGCTGGTAACTTCACTTCAAATTTCCAATAATTTATCCTAATTCCTCTGCTTTTTGGGAATTTTATTCTATCTTTATGTGATCTAAAGCTCTGTGTTTTTCTAGCAAATGGGATTGATGAGACTTGTTTTTTATTTTCCAGCTGTTTCGAGCCGTTCCATGATGAAATTTGAAGGTGGATACACTGTGGAAACAGTTTTTGATGGAAGCAAGCTTGGTATTGAACCATTTTCTGTTGAAGTTTCCCCCAAGGGAGACCTCCTTGTGTTGGATGCTGAAAATAGTAACATTTTCAAGATTTCATTGCCATTGTCTAGGTGTAAGTTTATTCTTGAATAAACTTCTCTTCTGGGGTTTATGATTTGTGTTCACTGCCAAGCCTCACATTCAAATTTCTTTGATTAAAATTGGTAATTTTGGCTCTTTTTGTTGATTTTTTGTTCAATGAGGTACTTAATTTCTTGTAAGGTGTCCATATATTCTTAACTTATTACGTAATCGGGGTTGTGAATGAGTTCGATGTCCCTTTGTTTAGTAGAAGACTACTTTTAAATGGATAGTTACAACTTATGTTGCTTCATCTCTTCATTTTCTTGAAGAATACGTATCCGATACATATAGGTGTGTGACACTCACAATCGAGTTTGAGTAACAAATAGGTAACATCTTTCCTTTTAGATTCAGTCTTTTTCTTTTTGATCTTTTTTATTCAAAGCTGACATTGTCCATTGAACACTTAAACTTATAATTTACGCATATTTCCGATCTTTTATCTTTCTAAGCCTTATGGGAATGTACTTTCACTTTTTAAACAATATTCGAGTAATATTCAGACAGCCTTGAGCTTCTTTATGAAGCTTAAATACTTCGTTGATTTTAACATTGAGTCATTCGAGTTCACTTTGTAGTTTTAATTTTGGGATCATTTAAAGTTTATGGAAGATAGGTGAAGTGTTTTAGACTTTACTTTGTGTTCTTAGATTGTCGAATGCATCGGTTTGCTTTCTGCATTTGATTCTCTCTGATTTCTCTGACCTTGTCTTGTCCATGTTCTTGATGTTTGGTTAATATTCATACTATATACATATATGCTCCATTTACTGATATTGTATGCCAAACTAAAGATAGCAGACCTAAGTTGCTTGCTGGATCATCGGAAGGGTACTCGGGGCATGTAGATGGGAAACCACGAGAAGCTAGAATGAATCATCCGAAAGGGCTAACAGTGGATGACAGTGGAAATATATACATTGCAGACACAATGAATATGGCTATCAGAAAGATCAGTGAATCAGGTGATTCAGACAATGCTCATTGAATTTCTGATAATTAAAGTTAGGTTACGTTGCTCTAAGTTTTGTAGATTCGAGTTCCTTGAAATAAAATGCTATTCTAACATAACGTCTTAGCTGAAATTGTTTACATCTTTATGTAGGGGTTACAACTATTGCTGGAGGAGGAAAATGGAGTCGAGGAGGAGGCCATGTTGATGGTCCGAGTGAAGATGCAAAATTTTCGAATGATTTCGATGTGGTTTACATTGGAAGTAGCTGCACTCTTCTGGTTGTAGATAGAGGAAACCAGGCAATTCGTGAGATCCAACTAAACGATGATGATTGTTCATATCAGAATGATGGCAGTTTTCATTTAGGTATCTCTTTCGAGCCATTCTTGATTCCATTGCTCTTTAAGCTCGTCAAAATCTTTTAAGATATGGGTTGACCATTATAGGTATAGCAGTGCTTGTTGCCGCTGCGTTCTTCGGTTACATGCTCGCCTTGCTACAGCGTAGGGTACAGGCAATGTTCTCTTCCCATGATGTAAGTGACTTGATGTTTTATGCTTTATCTTTTATGCGAATGGATCCGACGTCACAAATCTTCTAATTCCCTCCTCCTCGGATTATAGTGTTTTTTTCTTTCTTTCAAGTGTTGGTATGAATCTTAGGACTTGTTCTGATTCTTTCTTTGTTATGATAAATTTCCGACATTCCAAATTCCACATGATATGACCGAACAAGCCCTGATCTTTGTAGGACTCGAGAACTCCAATAAAGAGAGGAGCAATGATGGCACCTGTGGCGCCATATCATAGGCATCCTAATTCAGTCAGGCCTCCGTTAATTCCCCCCGAAGATGAACCTGAAAAGACAGAAGAGGGCTTCTTCGGTTCAATCGGTAGGCTCATCGTCAACTGTAGTTTATCCGTGGCCGAACTCTTCGGGGGATTATTTTCTGGATTCAGAAGGAAACCTCAGTATTATCAATTTCAACATCCGTACCAGCAACCATCCATGCATCCAAGAGGATGGTCCATGCAGGAAAGTTTTGTCATTCCTGACGAAGATGAACCACCATCCTTAGATACTCGAACTCCGACACCAAAGAGAAGTTACCCATTTCCGACCAAAGACCTGAAAAGGAAACACCAGATCAAGCAAAGCAGGCCTTATTACAATGGATGGGATGTTGATTATCCTCAAGAGCAGCAAATGCAGATGCATCACCATCATCAACAGCAGCAGCCGCAACAGCAGCGTCTGCAGAAGCATTATTCATCGAACCCGCAAACGTATTATGAGAAGAACTGTGAGACAAACGAGATCGTTTTCGGGGCAGTTCAAGAACAGGATGGAAGACGCGAAGCCGTGGTGATAAAGGCGGTAGACTATGGGGATCCGATTTATAGTCATCACAACCTTCGACCTCGTTTGAATTATATGGGCTACTCCCATGGCTATTGACCATGTGGTCTATTATAATCAAATGAAAGTGAAACAAGGATACATTAAAGTTCATATGAATGCAATGAACATGGAGGAGATGTAGGACTGTGGATGATGAAAGTTTTACATTGTTTTTCCTTTTTCATTTAAATTTTGACTTAGGATATGTTCGTTTCACTTAAAGGGATGTAACATATGTTTTCTGTTTGATCTAGAAATCAAGACAACCCTTTGATGTGTCTTTAATGAATTTATTTATTTATTAACACCTTAAAATAAGCTTAATTTAAAGTAAAATATTATTAAATAACTTTTTTAAATTTTTAATATTTTTATTTGATACTTAATTTTATAATACTCATGAATTATTATAAGTTTGTAATATTGTGTAATTAAACAAAATATTGCTCTATTCGTAATGTTTTATATCACTATACAAACGTTAAATTATACAAAAATATAGTAACTTATAATCATTTATGTAATTTAAACACTTATAACTTTCCTTTAAATTTATCTTAATTTAAGTTCCTTAACATTCATAATTCCAAATATTAAGATCTACATTGTATTTATAAGGAAAATAATCTTGATTACCATTAATCTTACTCCATAATTTTTTTATTTAAATAAACTTAATCTTCAATTATACCACTAAAATTTAATTTAATTATAACTAAAATTTGAGTTTATATATAACAATATGAATTATATTTGATGGTCTTGGGAGATGACACTGTCATTTCTCTACAGTCTTTGTTGGACACTTCCTTTCAACTCATGTGGGAATCTTAAACCAAAAAGACACCAGATTTCTATAACATAAATATTCTGTAGAATTATTGCAGACCATGTTTGAGCTAGAATATACCCTAATATTGATTAATAAAATTAAACAATGTTTAAGAAGAGAGTATAATGTATTTATTTGGATCCATAGGCTTTATACGAATGAGCATTTGTTTGTTCCTTCCTTTTTCTGCTCACTCTTTGACTCACAGATTTGTAGCCAAGTGTAATCACTTCCTCAAACTTGCTGCAATTTAGACTCATCACATAAATAATTTAATCCATAATTAGATCTGACCATGATATTGGTGTCATTCATATCATGTCTAAAAATATTCTATGGTTATTTAAATTTTAACATATTGTATTTTAATGGTGATGTTTAGCACCTAAAAGTATCAGTAATAAAACCTCAAATTTTAAATAGGATGAGAATTGATTAGATTTAATGCAGGGGGGTGATTTCAACAAGGGTCACATGGGAACTGGGGAGAACAAAAATGACCCACAAATTAGCTTGCATGCAACTGCTACAAGCCAAGACTTTGAACTAACAGGCTGATCACAAGATTTAAATTTAAAAAGGAAATGGATATATAATATCTCTTTATGCTTATATCATTTTATTCTGCAGAATTATGATTTCCAGAATTTATAAGAGATCAGCCTACCTATGAATTGAAACTAGTCAATATTAGACTTAGAAGATTAAATAACATCTATGTTGTTTGCAGTTCACTGTCCTAAACATATATTTGTGTTTGGGACTTATGTTCGATATATATTTTAGATACGAATATGAAGATCCAAACGAACTAATCCGAACATAAGTTTACTTGGACCATGTACAAGAATTAACATGTGCAATTAACAAAAATCATGGAAACTATATGTATGAAATATCTTCTGTTACAGAAATATGACAACATGAGTTTCAGTAGTACAAATGGCCTTTTTCTTGCTACACGAATTCTATTCCTCTCGTTCCATTCAAGTTCTACAACAAAAGCAAATGGCTATGGTGATTGGTGAGTAATTTTTTAAGTATAAGATTTCAGAACAGAAAACATGTGGTATAAGAGCTAAGGTAAAGCACAATAAGCTTTGATCTGATCAATTGTGTAAGGATATTACATTAACCTTTCATTGTTCTTGTGATTTTCAGCCATGGTAGGTCTGAGTAAAGAGAAGATGGCATACCAAGTTGAGCATCCGAAGAACTCGAGAATTGGCCTTTCTTAGACCAAAGCCAGATCTTTGAAACCGAAAAGCTTTCCCCTTTACTCATACTACTAATCTTCTTCTCTTCGACATCTCTTTCGGCCAATGAATTCCCATCCTGTTCCAAGTCTCTTGATAGCTTAATACCATTGCCCTAGTGCTGGCCGCCGTGTCGATCATTCGAGAGGGTAACCCTCGGATCTGAATTGCCTAGCACATACTGATATGAACCCATTGAGAAACACCTCCTTGCATCCAAGTTGCTGCTACTGGTTTCAACCCTAGCCTCATCTGGTTCACCACTTAGCCTTCTGAATTTGCCTAGCCTAACAGGCAAAACCCCTTTGTCCACAACAATTTCTTCCATCTACACTGTTTTCTGACTAGGAGTGTATCCATTTTCACCATGACCAGCACACAATTAATCTTCCCTAATGTCATCAAAATCAAAGACTGGATTCTCAATTGAGAACTCAGGAGTGAAAAGGGTGGCTATACACAGAGGGCATGTTGAATTCGACAACAACCAAGTGTCAATGCAGTTTATATGAAAAGCATGGCTATTGTCTTTCTCAGAGAACTCACATAAACAAACGGCACAGTCAAAGGGCTCCTTGGGACCAACCATTTCTTTGTAATGAAAAACAGGTAAAACATCAATGAAAGCTTGATCTAAGCCGGAATCATGGAGGTGCAACAGCTGTTGTAGCTGTCTTCGTAAAGCATCAGAGGTAAACATTTCAGGGTATCTATTATTATATTAAGAAGATGGAGATGAAGATGGATGTTTTATAAGGAAACTAACAAGCAGATGGAGGAGGCCAGAGATGAAAAACAGAACAGCCAATATCACTATAATGAAAAGAACAGCAGGACTAATTCTAGTACCAGACGATGATGATGATGATGATGATGAAGGGTTTGAATCTCTATGAAAATCTGTAGGAGTTAAAGGAGATGGAGGAAGAGGAGGTGGATATTGAAAGTAACCATCTTTTTGCTTGATTTGTTGGTGATGATGATGATGATGAACCCAAGACATCTTCAAATGGTTATGTCCCAAAAATCCATAACTCTGCAACACCAAAACAAAGCCTAAAATAAAACTCAAACCCACCTCATATTTCAAGCCTCAAAACAAAACCTCTCCTTTTCACCAGCACAAGAACACCATATTCTCCACAAATTTCCTTTTCTTGCTTTATATCCTCCACAAGCAAAACCCTTTCTTTTCAACAGTCCGTGAAACTAACATAAAAAAGGGTCTTTGGAATTTACCCCTCAAGGAGACCTTAAAATGGAAGAAAGGAGAGGAGAGTGAATAAGGGGAATCTAATCCCAGTATTTATCAAAACCCAATGTTAAAAAAACACACACTTGAATTTTTGTTTGTCTTTTGTTTTTCTCTCTTTTAAAAGGTGAGTCCTCCCCTCTGCTCCGCTTCCCTTTCTAGTTATTAGTGTAACCGAGGAAAAGACAGCAGTAGGAGAGAGTGGCAGAACAGCGGCTGTAATTTTCCAAGCGAGAGGTGTTAAAAGTTTAGTGTAAATTACATTCATATTCGTATCTCACCTATTTCCATATTTTTGTTTTAGGACTTAACTATAAAATAAATATCTAAATAATATTTTTAATAAATGTTTAAATTTTTTTAATCATTTGAGTGTTTAACGTTACAAAATATTATTATTTTAAGTATTTAGACTGTAATTATCGTTAAATTTCTTTGTTAAGTGACATATGTCACGTTTGGATAATTTCGAATTTTTTAAAAATTAAAAATATTAGTTTATTTATAAAAAACTTACTTTCTCTTAAATTACAAAAAAATCTCAAATCCCTAAAAATTTTAAATCTTTAATCTTAACCCACTAACGTCGTCCTTACTAGCCATGACCACTGCCACGAGCGTAGTCTCTGTCATCTTACGAGTCATATATCATCATAGTTGTCATCGATTGACCATTAGAATTATATGTGGTCGCGATTTTTAGCGTAAGATTCGCAGGATATAAACATCGATTGATCGCGATTTCATAGGATCATTGACATCTGGGGAAGTGAGATCGGGTGAAGCTTCATCGACTGCAAAGGACGGCAGATGGCGGGCGACGTAAGCTTAAGGTTGAAATAATGGTTTTCAAAGCTTGGGGTTTTTTTTAAATATTTCGGAATTTGTGCTTTTTTAATATAATTTATTTTAGATAAATCGATTTCAATATACTCAAAGAAAAGCAGCAAGTTGCCACAACAATCCGGGTACCCAAACAAATACTCAACTCACAGACCCCATTCTGTACAAATATAAAAATTTACACGATCCTCCCTATTGATATCCTTATAATTTTATTTTTTTTAATTTTAAATAAATTTTTTAAAATTATCAGAATTGCATAATTTAACAACAGATACAGTTTGGGCACCAAAAGTTATAACATTTGTAACTTAGACACCTAGATGATTAAAAAAAAGTTTAATCACCTATTTACAAAAAAAAAAGTATAATTTGGATACTTATTTTATAATTAAGTCTTGTTTAGTCACTTAATTACATTTTATGATAAAATTATATCTAACATTACATTTTTTTTTATTTTCATCACTAAATATAACAGAAATGATACCATATGGTATAATAATAGTTTCGGTTTTAAATTTATATATTTTAATAATTAGATCTTTATTTAAAATAATTTATCAAATTTAATCATCATTTTAAATATTTGAACCAAACTCCAAGTTTTCCAATTTCTCACCCTCTTTCTCAATTTTCTAATGCAAGATCAAGCAAGGACAAAACGTGACACCAATAAGAAATTAAGGAGATAACAGCCACATCGATTTCCAGTGACATCTTACGTTCGTCTACCGTCATTTTCATCTACAAAAATGCCATAATTAAGCACATAACAGCCACATCGGCCACCAGTCACGTCTTACGTTCGTCCAACGCCATTTTCATCTACGAAAATGTCATCTTCCCCCCCCCCCAAAAAAATAAAAAAAAATCAGAGGTTCTATCAGACATTTTTACCCAAAAATCATCCCCAACTATTAAATATTTATCTGTCATGCACCTATCGCCCTAATTTTACCGATCTAACATCCTTTTTGACAGTATGGAAAAAAGGTGTAGATCACCATTATGACAGTATGGCAA